GAAATGGCGTGGCTCGTGGCCCGACGGTCCATGTAGCCCCTGGTTCATTTGTACATGAATGCATTGCATTGGCCTATATTTTCATACCAAGAAAGAGGCGCATTTTGGCTGTCGTGGTTCTTTTCTTGGCCTTTTCTTAAAAGTCTCAGGCTGCCCTCCACTGCAACTTGCAGCCTTCCCCCCCCCCCAAATCCCCGGTCCATCTTGAAATCTGTGTCTCTTGTAACGTCTCAGAAGACTCCTGAGTATCACCTCGTCTGGTCATACAATCTTGCGACTACAATAACTTCGGGAAAGGAAGAAGCCGCTCTTGGATGAGACAGAATCAGCCTTACAATACCGCCACCGTCTCTCCCAAAGATAATCATACCGACAATTCTATACAATGTCGCGCGTGTGCTTGCCACGATTATAGACCATACAGTCGAGTGCGTGGATCTGCCAACCAACTTCCGCGACATCATCGGCTTCATAATCGTCCTCTAAACCTTTCGCCCGACGCCAACGTCTCAAACCTCGAGCTCGGCATCCGCTCTATCCTTATCCACCTCGCTCTCGGCTCAGCCTCAACCGTCGGGATCGACGACCTTAACACATTGGCTTATCCTTCAAGGGTCTCATCTCTTCCTTGATATCATCCGCCACGCCCGCTGTTGTTCTTCTTCTCTCACCATTCGCTTCTTTCTGTCTGCTGGCCTGACAGAGTTACTGTTCGTTTTAATACTTTCGTTTTTTCTTCTTCTCGTCCGCTCTTTTATACCATATCGCCGCTGGCCGGTCTGTAATATCACACCGAAAAAAGGACTATTGGCAGCAGTGTCTGGGTACTATACGAATAGACGACAAGTTCAACGAGGGAAAACGAGACTGGTTATTATCCGCAAGGAAAAAGAAACGTTTTGGGAACAAGTGAAGGGTAACTTAATCTGGGCTTGACAATCAATATCCATTCATCATGGGAAAACTCATCAAGAATCACTGGGCCCGTCTCATCATCTTGAGCGCCGCAGCTTGTAAGTTGGCCATGGTCCGAACCGATCGTTTCTTTACTTACACCATCTTGCAGATCAGATTGTGGCTGCCATAGAGTGCTTCTTTTGGCCCAAGATCTTCTGGGACTTCCTTACGCGCACCCTCGATGGTGCAGTGAGACCCGTACCGGCTTTGCAGATAATAAATCTACTCTTGGGGATTGCCATGCTGGCTCTCGAATGGCCCCTTAACTTCGTCGCCGGCTCGGCTCTCCACCGCTCGCTAGAATTCCGACTTGCCATCCTTCCTCTCACAGCACTCAGTGCTGCTCTTATCTACCAAGGCACAAACGCCGCTATCTACTACCTCATCGGCATGATCGTCTACTTCTGGGGTTACAGCGAAGGCGAGGTTAGTGGCAACTACAAGCCTTTGAGAAATCTACCCGTGACTAACATTGATTTCTAGATGATCTGCGCAAAACCTTGGACTCTTCCTAATCGCGGGCGCAGCGGCGGCGGTACGCGTGCATAGTCGCAGCTTGCCATGATGGATGTATAATACTACAAAATACAGAACGGGTTATAGCATGACTTCTTGATTGAACGCCATCTATAAACCTCAAATTTTACAAAGAGACACTGTTACACATATACCCCTTTGCGGCGTTTGGCGATTTTTCATGATATACGACCATCAGACCATCAGTACTGCGTGTGTATGGCTCATTCTGCACCAAGGAGATTTCCCTTCTAGCATTGCGTTTACGTTTGCGTTTGTATTTGCATTTTCCATTTGCATGATCAGCGTGGAGGTGTTGTTAGACGAGGGTACCATTGGAGAGGGTCGTACTGTTCACGGCCGTTTCCAGAGGAACGTCTGACAATCAGGAGACAAATAACTGGTCCAGTTGTGTAGCCTTGACGGGCCTGAGGACTTCCGACCAGAGTCCGCTACAATCCCTGGAGCCAAAGCACCCGAAATATAGATCTAATACTACCAAAACGTCTTCAAATGTTCCATGTGTGTTTCTGTTGTTGCTTCCTTGGATACCTCCGTACATATGTATTGAGCCAAGCCAGAAGGGCAATTCAGCTTGGTGATTCAAAACATAGTAGAAACAACCAAGAGTCCTCTAAATATGTCGAAACCGGATCTGTTTGTGGATTTTGCCAAGTGGTGGTATTGGCCGATATTTCGAAACACTCCTTGTCTAATAGCGTTCTTTTGGATCATAACTCCGCTACATATATACCTTGGGTCCACATGTGAGAGCCATACCAATAGCACATGGACAAGGAGTATGATCCAAGATTACAGAATGAATGAATACATACATATATACATGAAGGCAATATTTTCATTGCCGCATCAATAACAGAGAGCACCAAACGGAGGTCTTTAAATTCAAAGCAAGTTGTGGAAATGGGAAACGATAAGATAGCCTGGTATGTTCAAAATCAAGCTAATGAAAATGGGTTTATTCGGTGATATAAGTAGCGCGGGCAACTTAATATTTCGTGTTATTACTAAATAGACCTGACTATTCAAGCATCGACGTAGTCAAGAGGAGGCAAGAAAGCTTATGATCATCACCCGACGTGGTGAAGAGACTTATATGAATTTAGTATAATTTATCAGATCTTTAGATCTATCATTTAGCAGCCTCGTTACCCCGCGAGTTGTCAATGAAGTAAAGAGCGCGAGATCAATCATTTCCCCTGTTTTCTTAGTATCATCACAAAGCGCTACACAAGTCGACATAGATTTCAATGCCACCAAACTTAGGGCAATATGTGTGTGCGGATTAGATGGCAAAATAAATGCATTGCAATTCCCAAGGCTGGTTGTATTTCATGAAACACTATCATAGAAATGCCCATCTCTCAGGGCATCAGACACTAACTGACTCAATCAGCTGTCAACATGATCGTGGCCCAGGCCAACCAACTACCTGGCAACAACTTCATCAACTATCTCAGATGAGTCTTAGTTGTTCACCGGTATTACCGTTCACTGCAACATGGGCCCTTTCCTAGCAATTGCATGCCCAAAAATATGGCGGAGCCCCCTAACGCCTGCTGTCTGGTACATCGTGTAGAATGTTGTTTCTTCTAGTGGGAGATCATAGGGCCCTTGCTGTCGTTCTTGGGACCTTGACGCTCGGGGAACTGTGCGATCATGTTAGTCAGGCAGGTGAGTAAGAATGTTTCACAGAAAAGGATCTTACCTCTACGGTCTGAGTGTCGCCCTTCTCAAGAATCTGCTTGATGACATCATCGTCGACAGAAGTACCAAACTCGTTCTCAAGAGCGGCCTTTGAAGCAGCATCGAGACTTCCCTGAGCTCCTTGGCTAATAGAATGTTAGCTTGTGTGTTATGGAATTGGGGATTGTTTTGGTGGTGGCAGGCAGAGGGAGGCTGAAGCCATGATCAAATGCCAGATATCTGGCACCGTCAATGCGGCACAGACTATCCGTAGTATAATACATGACGCAGGGCTTCCGTTTCTAAGCTAGCCACGAGATTGAAGGGGAAGGAGGAGATACAAAGCGGGGGTGGCTTGACTTACTTGTGTGTCAGGAAGATCTTGAAGGAAGAAATGAAGTGAGCAAGAGGAATGCTCTTGTCGCTTTTCCACTTCTGGTAGGTCTCAACATCATCAATGAAGATGATGAAGTCGTCGCTGCCCTTGTAATGGACCTTGGTCTGCTGAGTCTCGCCGCGAGCCATTGTGATTGTTTATTGAGTAAGGGAAGTGGTAGTGGTTGTATTGGTAGTGAAGAGTCGTCAAGCGATTAGAGTGAGAAGTCGCTGAGTGGAATTGTTGATAACTGTTTATCGAAGGATGAAGATGAAGATGAGGAGAGGAAAAGAAAAGGAGTCGAGGAAGTGTGGTGCATCCAGAGTCTTAAAAGGAAGCTCAATGTGAGGAGCAGTGACGAATGTGCTTTCCTAGGTAGGTACCTACTAAGCTTGCTGGCCGGAAGCTACCTACGTCATACGTCATAGCTGTGCTCTCCCAAGGCGGGCAAGTGGGCTGGTACGTACTGCATCGCGGGGCTCTCAAGGCCCTCAGGCGGAACAGGCCCCACTATAGCTTGCTCTGAGCATCAACACAGCCAATGAAGCAGCAAATCCCCATTTGCTTGCCAGGCTCGAAGTTGCTCGTCTTGCTTCTACTGTACACGTTCCTGCATGCTTGAATCCACCGCGTACGTCACCGTATTCTGAGCACGAGGAAGCAAAAGAATAGGTAAGGTACCTAGGCTAAGGTACCCTGAATAAGGTATCCAAGCTTGTGTGCCTTATGGGCTGCCATGTTGATCAATCGCGTGCTCCTCACGCCAGCCTATACCGATTTTCTTGTAAGGGATTGGCCAAGTTGCAGCGGATCCCATGTTGTTCTCCCGTCTTCCATGTCAGTAACAAATCATCTTCTTTCTCATTGCCTTGGCAAACCATACTGCTTTTTATCCTGTGAATGCTGTCTTGGCTTCTTTCTCAATGGGGGCATTTGCTTGATGCATGATGCGTGATGCCGAGGAATCAACTTCGTGATATGTGCCGATTGTCCATTCCATAAGGCATGATTGTGATATCCCCAAACTTGAGAAAACTGATGGTTTGAAACCAAACAATTAATATTAGGCGAGAATTCCCCAGCCTTAAAGCGCTATTTAGAAACCGCCGAGTTAGACTACATAAGCTTATCAAAGTAACCAAAGGATCGACTAATGTTTGTAGGACATCGGTACCTTAGACTACCATATCAGGTACTTTAGTGATGCTAACAATGAAATCCAATGCCTACCTACCTACCTCCCTGGTATGTAGTTTCCCATCATCTTTGAACCGATAATACAGCACATCTTTACTAGAGATGCATAAAGCGCCATAGCCGACTAGTGCCCTCATAACAGTTTCTTACCGAAAGAATCTGCGAATGCCTGTGCATTTCTTTTCGTTTCTCGAGCCTTTCTCCTTCCCCCATGGAACATCTGTGCTCTGCACGGCGGTGGCATCTGCCAAGCGAGACAGATTCTCCTTCGCCACAGAGTGCGTTGCTGTTCTGGAACCACTTTGTGGAGAATTGATCTGGAGCCTGTTTGTCATACAGTCTTGTAGAGCTGATGTGTTTTCTGCCTCACTTTGCAACTGCTGGTCTGAAATAATCTCAATCAGATTGAGAGGTTCGAGTTCGGATATCTGAGTGAGCTCCAGCCTCGGAGACATGTTCGATACACGATCATCCTCCTCACTTAGCTCTCGAGTCTCTGGGAGCGCTGAGCCTTTACTTGTGTAGGAGTGTGAGCTCTCCTCACGACCAGTCTTGTCAAAGATGTCAAAGCCACTATCGCTCGAAAAACTTGTCTGGAGGGTCTGGTCTTCACTTGATGGGTCCTCGATCATTCTGCGTGACAAGCTTCCTGACCTCTTCGTCATGCTGGATACACTCAACTTTCTCATCACGGTTGATGCTGACCGCCTGATTATCTGCTCATTCCGCGCAATGTTCGTCATGCTAGGAAGGGGAAGAACATCTTGACTCCAGACGTCTGAGAGAAGCACCTCCAGCCGCGCTCTTTCACTTCGAGATGGTACCAGGACTGGCGTTCTGACTTTTGTTGACAACAAAGACTGTGAACGATGGAGTCTAGCTCCAGAGCTGATACCACTACTAGATTTCATGGTACTTGTATTCTTGAGAATGACATGGCACAGGGATGACTCGGAGCTTCCCACAGAGGCCTGATGCGTTGACAGACTCCTCGCGATACTGCCTACCGATGTTTAGTATGATCTAGCCTTTTCATTATTTGGAAAGCGTAAGCATACCAGGTCGTCCAAACACAGTGCCTAGACTTTGAATGTCAAGAGAGAGAAATATTTGAAGACCAGGAGATCTACCAACTGGCTCTAGGCACAGTGGTTGCTGCAACCGGGTTCGCCATTCGTTCTCCTCCCTTGACGTACAGGCCGTCATTACCACCTCGTAGAGTTGATGATCGCTCTCAAAAACAAGCTTCCATGAGAAGGGAGCTAGGTGGCATTGCAAGCCTACAAGATACGTCAGTTCAAGTCTCGGTTATGTATGACATGCCTTACCGCGCCCATTGTCAGCATCTTCAACAGCTGAACAATGTACATCGATACAGGCCAGAATCGTATAGATAGGATCAAACTTTCCCCCAGAGGCCAGACAGAGGACGTCTTTGTAAAGCAAGCAGATCATATACTGACCGTCAATGCCGGCCGGCGACTGCCAGCATACATGCAAAACTCCACACAACTGAATGTGACCAAACGAACGAACCTGATTTTTCGAATGCGCATCTAGTCTCTCATAGATAGTTAGCAAAGATTCACCAAGGGAATATCTGTGAAGAATACCCTGTTTGGAAACACGATACGATCCTGCAATAGCCAGGTCTTTTCAAGAATGCCTTTCATCAAATGATCCTCAGTTGAGCGGTTGATCTCAGCTGTGGCCTCCCGGAGCCTCATTAGTGTAGTTTCAACTTCCATGTGAGAGTTTGGACAGTCGATGACTGGGGTGCACCTCAGTAGCTCTGCAAACAAAAGGGGGTATTTGCAGATTCTTTGGATAGGCTAAGGCTGACATGTCAGGCAGTGAAACAGATATGATCAGATGAGCATACCTTAACAAGAAGATCGCCTATTGTTAGAGCCTTTCTTCTATCGGACGAGGGTGATGGCTCCATGGTGAACGCGAAAGCCTCAAGCCCCTTCTGATGTAACTCCCATTCGGGGAGATTTTCTAGAGCTGAAGTGGCGTCTTTGATCATCATCTCATACTTCGCACCGTATTCCTGATACATGAAGAACCGATGCATCTGGGTGCAACCTGTCAGCAACTCTCAGGCGTTGAACTGCAATACGGCGACTCACCCTCCTGCTGAAAATCTTGGCCGCTTCTGCTGCTACCTGAGGCTCAGACAGCACACCAGGCTCCTTTTCTAGTAACTGGAGGCTGCCTTGATCCCCTGAGACCATATCTAGGCTTGACCATCGGCGATGTCCAGTTTTGGGATTGTTTGATTTCGAGGAGGATACGATAAGATGATCAGCTTGGTTGTATTCAGAATCCGGAACTACCCTATGTAGTTCGCCAAGTATTTCTTCATGGAGCTGAAGGATTTGATCGAGATTATGGTTGATGGACGAGCGCAACCTCTCTGGTAAAGTTGGGAGAGCAGCGAGCAGGTTGATGTAGGTCTATTTGCTGTCAGTTGGCCTAAGAGTAGTCCTGGGCTGAGCTCACATGAATAAGGAAACGAATATCACCAATATAACTCTCCTCCGTATTGATGAGCTCCTCGATGATCTGCCGGCGCCGAAGAGAACGCTGGACGGCAGCAACATCAATGCTGACCTTTTCGAACGGAATACTGTCTTCGGAAAACCTTGGGGCAGACAGAGAAGCTCGACTGCTTCGCTCAGTCCGTGACCGGCAATTTGAAAGGCGATGATGCCGGTGTGAGCGCGAGATGGCACTGGCACTAGCGATGCTGATACTCGCACTTTGGACTGCTTCGATGAAACCTAGCGAAGACCCAGAAGACGAGAGCCGACGACTGAGTCTGCGGCGAATTGATCGCTGATAAGCTCCACTGCACTCGAGATTTTCCCATCCAGTATCTGGGGACCAAACATTTTCGTGGTCTCTTTGACTCACTCGGCGATGTAATGACTTCATCCATCTAGAGAAGGGCCCCCGAAGCTTGACATTCTCAGCGAAAGTTTCGCTGCATGGGACCTCTTGAATAGTTTCGACTTGTATCTGCGGACAAGAAGGTCTCGCGCGTGCGTTGGCTGCTCTTTCGCAACTCGCTTGCTGGGCGGTGCAATTCAAAGTTGTGAATGTATTGATATCATCAAGGCGAAGTTCATCCAATCTTGACGGCAAATGAATGTCATATAATTTGCGGAGGCTGTCGTGGGAATCAAATCGTGATATGTACGGAAAGCCGGCTGTCCAACTGAAATGCCTTGAACCAGGGATGCTACGAGAAACATCTGGCAAGGCTGAAGGGTTCACGAGAGCCATGATGAAAAGAGAGCGACGAGGTAAAGTCCAAGAAATTAACAAAGTGCTGGTTCCAAGAAAGCCCAACTACACCAAAAAAAGCGGCTTCAGACGAGTTGTCCAAACATGGCTGTGATGATGAATGATGAGGAAGATGTCATGAAAGGATTAGACCAAACATCAAAGTAGAGTTCACAGTACCAGAAGTCACAGACGGAAAGGCTGGGAAACTTCTAAGAGGTCACAATCCACGGGCGTGCCTACCTTACCTGAGTACCTACATTATTTACCTACTATCCAAGGTACAGGCAGGAAGGCGCGGTCCGAGAGATACAGTATTTCGGGACATTCCTTCCTGGATGGCGTATTAGGAGAAGTCATGCAAGAGTGATGAGCAATCCTGCAGGTAGAATTCACCGAGAATTGTGTCCGAAACCGAGAAAAAAAGAAGAAGATCTTAGCCATCCAGTCAGGCGGTCTTGTCTGGCCACATTGGCTCAACCGAGATTCAACACCCATGATCCTAGGCTGTGGAATCGTACAGCCCGTGACGATGAGCCAGAGTATCACGACTGAGAAGTGGTGATACAAAGAGGCGTCTGCATGGCCATTGGTACAGGGCGAAGCTGGAAGCACCAAAGACGGGAATATTGATGCCCGAGTCTAGGAGTTGTGATGCAACGAGACCAAAAGGTCAGTCGACGCAAGCCTCAAGATCATAATATGCTTTGGCTAAATGATAGGCCAAAAGGTTCCCACGTTGTTTGAAGCCGACCAGATATTATGAGTTGTAGGCTGGCTGCAAACTCGCAATATTGACGGTCAAGGCCGAGGCAGCAGTGCAAGAATCTCAGGGTTCTTTTGATGTGGCGGCGAGAGTCTCAGAGATCAGCGGCTTGCTCATATATAAGAGGTTGGGGAGACTGAAAGAATCTGAGCCGTGTGATCATCTTGTTCGTGGCTTGCTGGAGACATGGACAGTCAGTAAAAGAGTTATGGTAGTTTTAGGATTACTTGCAATTGGTCATTGATGTTCCTAAACAACAGATGATGTGTGTTATTGTGTTTATTAGTTATGAACTTGCCATTTGCTCGTGGCATGTATCACAACCTAATAACGCATTGCAGTATCCACGTAACAGCCGAAGTGAATGATTTCCTTTAGTGTGATGTGGAGAGGCGTGCCATCATGCATCGTATCTGACATCATGATTAAGGGCGATACTTGGCGGAGATAAAATATCATATGCAAGATCAAGCATATTAGATGACAGTGGTGTTTTATATCAATCATTTAAATCTGGAGAGTAAACTGGTCACGACATAAATGCTGTTGGGGTTGAGGTATCTAAGCAATTCTTATTTAGGCATGTTTCTTGTGAAAAGAAAGTATCCTGAGAGTATCACGCTTGGCCGAAGTTGTCTACTCCATAGACTTGAGCATGATATCTTGTTCCCCCACGTACAGTAGAGGCTGTCATGACCACCAATTTTTCTCAGCCAAGCCCCATCCCGAGTCAGTCGGCGATACCGGGCCGGGGTGGAATGGCTTTGACCTGAGAAGCTTACGAGTATCGCATATCTTCGTGGATAGATATGTAGTCAGTCTCCACCGACCCTCTGACTTACCCATACTCACCTTCAACTTCAATTGGTGAGAGCGGCTTATTCGGCAATCGACAACTTGGCATATATGCTCGGCAAGCAAAGACTCAACTTGTATCTTGTCGTGATGCAAGGTGTAAGCTAACTGGCTCGGCATCGTGGCGGTGCTCGCAGAGCTAGACCCAACCAAGGTAAAATCGAGCTGGGGTTTCTCGGCGGGAGAACAGTCTTGAATCGGGTTTCAGGGGACTGGTGCCTGGTTTTCAGGAGGTTTTACAGTGGTCCTCCCAGATTGTGGGGATGCGCTACTGTGACGCTAGAAGCCAGGAGAGACATGCCGACTGTCCGAGACGGAAACGAACACGTTGAGCTTTTTGATCATGGAGAAGCGCCTCGACTTGAGAACTTCCAACGCAAGACAGAAGCGGAAAAGTTGACAGTCTCGCGACTCAGACTCTGTCTACCTAGTTTTAGTATCTCTTAGTCCGGTGAAGCAGGTTTCACAGCAGCAGACTACCATTAGTCAGAATAAAATCTATACTGCAAGGTTGGAGGTTGCCACGTGCGTGGGCCCTTTCATCGCCTTGCCTCTCTAGTCTTGACAAATCTACCCTTACTGTAAACTGTTCCATGACAGGATTGGAAACCGGCGATTACTATAGTTTATTGCCTCCGTGTCTTTTATCTTTCTCTCCTACACTTTCTTTTTCTAGTACACGTGTTGTCATTTTCTTTCTGACGTCTGCATTACCCTCCATTCCTTGCTTCAAGGTTAACGAGACCCTTTGTCTCTCTCTTTTTCGCAAATCGTCTCGCTGTCAACTTCTCGGTATACAAACTTGATTCAGCTTCGTTCCGAGCGCTCGCGTTGCGCTTCGCCTTCACCATGGAGAGCGCGTTCGCGAAACCAGTTGGCGATGTCCTCGCCAACTTCAACGTCAACGAGGCTACAGGCTTGAGCGACTCTCAGGTCACCGAGCTACGCAACAAATATGGGCGCAACTGTACGTCAGATACTCTCCGTAACCCCACCACGTTTTTGAGCTGTCTAACTTTTGGTAGCTATTCCTGAGGAGCCTCCTACTCCTCTGTGGGAGCTTATCCTAGAGCAATTCAAGGACCAGCTAGTTCTCATCCTTCTTGGTTCCGCCGCTGTCTCTTTCGTTCTGGCACTTTTCGACGATGAAGAGGGCTGGAGTGCTTTCGTTGACCCAGTTGTCGTAAGTGCAAACTCGCTCTTCGATTCTGTTCCTGTTGAGCAGACCATTGACCTGCCTTCTGTAGATTCTCACCATTCTCATTCTCAACGGTGTCGTCGGAGTCTCCCAGGAAAGCAGCGCCGAGAAGGCCATCGCCGCCTTACAGGAATACTCAGCAAACGAAGCAAATGTGGTGCGAAATGGTGGTCATGTTTCACGAGTCAAGGCCGAAGAGCTAGTCCCCGGCGACATTGTCACAGTCTCCATTGGTGATCGTATTCCTGCCGATTGTCGAGTCATCTCCATCGAAAGCAACAGTTTCTCTGTCGACCAGGCAGTTCTCACTGGAGAGAGCGAGAGCGTCGGCAAACGCGCCTCTACCGTTATCGAAGATGAGAAAGCCGTTCTACAGGACCAGACCAACATGTTGTTCTCTGGAACAACTGTTGTAACAGGTCGCGCTCGGGCAATTGTTGTTCTCACAGGCCCCAACACCGCTATCGGAGATATCCACGAAAGCATTACTGCCCAGATCTCGGAACCCACGCCCCTGAAGCAGAAGCTCAACGACTTCGGCGACAGTCTAGCCAAGGTTATCACTGTCATTTGCATCCTGGTTTGGCTCATCAACATTCCCAACTTCAATGATCCTAGCCACGGCAACTGGACCAAGGGCGCCATTTACTACCTCAAGATTGCCGTCTCCCTTGGTGTTGCTGCGATTCCTGAGGGTCTGGCCGTTGTTATCACTACCTGCTTGGCTCTTGGGACGAGAAAGATGGCTGCTAAGAACGCTGTCGTCCGAAGCCTCCCTTCTGTTGAGACCCTTGGAAGCTGCAGCGTCATCTGCTCTGACAAGACCGGTACTCTTACCACCAACCAGATGAGCGTTAGCAAGGTTCTGCATCTCAACGAAGACGGCAGTGGTCTCGATGAGCTCGACGTTGAGGGCACTACCTTCGCACCCCGCGGAGCCATCAAGTCAAACGGTGTTGTCGTTCAGGACCTCCCCAACTCTTCTGCTACCATCCGCCAAATGACACAGGTAGCTGCCATTTGCAATGACGCCCAGCTTGCCTATGATTCTCGATCTGCCACCTTCTCCAGCATTGGTGAACCAACTGAGGGTGCCCTTCGAGTTTTGGTTGAGAAGATTGGACCTTGTGCCCCTACCGATACCCGCCCTGAAGATTGTGTTCATTATGCCAGCGCAGCCTACCAGAAGGAACTGCCTCGCCTGGCTACGTACGAGTTCTCCCGTGATCGCAAGAGCATGTCTGTCTTGGTTGGTAAGGGTAATGATAAGAAACTCCTGGTCAAGGGCGCTCCCGAATCCGTGATCGATCGCTGCACACAAACTCTCGTTGGCTCCAATGGCAAGAAGGTTGCACTCACCAAGAAGATTGCAGACCGCCTGATGAGCGAGATTGTACGATATGGTAACAACGGTCTTCGAGTCATCGCTCTCGCCAGCATCGACAAGGTGGCCGAGAACCCGCTTCTGCACACTGCTTCTTCTACCGAACAATATGCCCAGCTTGAACAGAACATGACTTTCCTTGGCCTCGTCTGCATGCTTGATCCTCCCAGAGAGGAGGTTCCTGGCGCTGTGCAGAAGTGCAAGGATGCTGGTATTCGTGTCATCGTCATCACTGGAGACAACCGCAACACCGCTGAAAGCATTTGCCGCCAGATCGGTGTTTTCGGTCAGCATGAGGATCTTACTGGAAAGAGCTACACCGGCCGCGAGTTTGACCAGTTGTCCCCTAGCGAGCAACTCGAAGCTGCTAAGCGTGCCTCTCTGTTCTCCCGCGTTGAACCCAGCCACAAATCTCGACTGGTCGATCTGCTTCAATCTCTTGGCGAAGTTGTTGCTATGACTGGCGATGGTGTCAACGATGCCCCTGCTCTGAAGAAGGCCGATATCGGTGTTGCGATGGGCTCAGGAACTGATGTCTCCAAGCTGGCTGCCGACATGGTTCTTGCGGACAGCAACTTTGCCACTATTGAGGTAGCCATCGAGGAGGGTCGTTCCATTTACAACAACACTCAGCAATTCATCCGGTATCTGATCTCGTCCAACATTGGTGAGGTCGTCTCGATTTTCCTGACGGCTGCTCTTGGTATGCCCGAGGCTCTCGTTCCAGTTCAACTTCTTTGGGTCAACCTCGTCACCGATGGTCTGCCTGCCACCGCTCTGTCTTTCAACCCCCCTGACCACGACATCATGAAGCGTCGTCCTCGCAAGAGAGATGAAGCTCTGATTGGCGGATGGCTCTTCTTCCGCTATCTCGTCATTGGTACCTATGTTGGTCTCGCTACGGTTGCTGGCTATGCTTGGTGGTTCATGTATAACCCGGAGGGTCCCCAGATCACTTTCCGCCAACTCACACGCTTCCACCACTGCTCAGCTGACTTCCCCGAAATTGGCTGCTCCATGTTCTCCAACGACATGGCCAAGGCAGCTTCAACGGTCTCCTTGTCTATCCTGGTTGTGATTGAAATGTTTAACGCCATCAACGCGCTGTCATCTAGCGAGTCTCTCCTCACTCTGCCCCTTTGGAAGAACATGATGCTCGTTTATGCCATCGCTCTGTCCATGGCCTTGCATTTTGCCCTCGTCTATATTCCCTTCCTCCAAGGCCTGTTCTCCATTGTGCCCCTGAACGCTTTGGAATGGAAGGCAGTTGTTGCCATCAGCGCCCCTGTTGTGTAAGTCCAACGTGCTGCTATTTGCTTATAGCCAACTAACTTGATACAGACTTCTCGACGAGATACTCAAGGCTGTTGAGCGACAGTTATTCATGCAGACAACAACTGACATTTCCCTTAAGACAAAGAAGGAACAATAGAACTGTGTGGATAGAGGGATCGGTGATGAAAACCTGGCGAAATGTCAGCGTTGACTAGAATCTACATGTATCATATTCTGACCAGTTCAGAGAGCTGCGATTAGACCTAGACGGCCACATTGGCCTCCGATATAACGAAATCCAAATTTCTGTTTCCCATGCCATTCAGTATACCAAGAAAGAAGTATCTCAGTAGGCACACATCAGACAAGGGGCATGAGCGGCTTTTATTCTTGACGTATTATACATGTATATAAATATCTATTTGCCGGCTGTATTTTGTAATTCAGATGTCATGTTTCTTCGTGGATCAGCTCACCAAGAGCCTTGCTCTCCTCCATAATCTCTCTGGCCTCTGAGGCAGATACATCCATATCCTCCATGATCAATTGTACAGCGAGTTCAGCTACCAACACCGACTGGATAAAGGCTGCAGAACCTCGACCGGCGATGACACGATCCTTTGTAGCATTCTCTTTCAGCGATTCACCAAACTCCTCCACGAGGTAATCGCACATGAGCTTGCAGCCTCTTGGGCCATAGTAACCTGGGTTGAGGTTACCCTCCTTCTTGAGTGACCTGGCCTGGCCTGTTTCGATTTTCTCTGCCAGAATATCACGGAAAAATGACTGTTTACCATTGACGATCTTGGTCAAGTATGCCCGATGATCATCCAGTCGGCTTTCAAGACGGCTCCAGTCGACATGAGGATAGCCTCTTTCACGCCATGTGTCCAAGGCAGTTTCTTTCTTGTGTTTAGCACAGAACCTTGTTTGCATCTGTACGTTCAGTCTCCTCCCCTTGGAATAATCCTTGAGGGCCTGTTCCGACACGAGGTCCCCGCACCACGGGCATTTCGTCATTCTATCTTCCAAACTGTTCTTGTCTGCAAGGGGCTCCTCATTGATCGTTTCCGTGTCGCTGAGTTCATCTAGATCTGATAAGACTGGCGACGATGTACTACCTATATCGCTATTGCTGGTCTGCATCCCATCAATCTCGGCTGGCGCAACGAATGTGGGTGGTTTGTACTCGGGCATCTTGGGTTGATCCTTTTGTTTCTTTGGGATGACCACTGGTTTCCAGACACCTATTCGATTCTGAGACGACGAGCACGACCCGCTCGGGCTGTCTTGTGAAAGTTTGGTGGTGGTGAGAGCTACCTGGCTTTTTGTTGGAGTAGTAGATAGACCGCGGCTTGTGGGTTTCGTTTCTGTGTCCCCTTTCTTTTTTGGGGTCCCCAAGTCGTCCCGGGGTGCAGGTCTTAGAGAAACCCCCGACTTTGTGGGACTACTGAAAGATTCTTGTGAAACGGGTTTGAAGGTCGGCTTTTCTTCCGTCTGGGAGCCATGCAATAAGTCGTCTTCTTCAGTCTTCTCATGTATAGGCTTGCCCTTTGTCACTTTTGTCTTCCCTATATACGGATTAATAAGAAAGTGACACGGTCGCCAGTTTGACGAACCTTTCTTCACTTTAGAACTTTGCGAACTATGAGAAGCTTGCGATCCTCGAGGTTGTGAGCTCCCATATTTTACTTTGCTGTTGCCTGCATTGGTAAATCCCCAAGGGTCGTTGACGTGATTCGCAGAGCCATTCCCGGATTTGCCTTCAACTTTCCTTCGTTTCACGCTCGAGGAAGATGTTTCCGCATGGCTTCCTGCTTTGGATATCTTTTCTTCCGTTTGGTTCACCTTTAGAGTGATATTCCTACGACTTTTACTGCTACTCGGGTCGCGGAAGGCTGTGCGCTTGATATCTCCACGAGCTGAAGTTTCTGGTTCGGAATCATCAGACTGCTCGATTGGCGTCTGGGCCTGAGAGCCACTTGGTCCCAGCCTCAAGTCTGCGGGTAAGGGTATATCGTCTTCAGCCTCATCTTCGGAAGACATGGGCAGAGCGTTGACATCGTCAGGTTGCTGTTCAAGCTTTCGCTTTTCACAGCCACGAATCTGGGAAAGAAGCGGCGGTGGCCGTTGGTGTCTGCTTAAGCCCGTCACTCTGCCAGCCATTGCAGATCGATGCTCCCTTTGCGAAGCCGAGATAAAAATGTGAGGGTCTGGAAATGGACTTTAAGTGCGGTGGTGAGAGATTTGACGTTTAGACGCATCTGAAACGAAGGTACCTCAAAGGCTAGAGCATCGCCATGAGAGGGTTCAAAGCAAAGCAAAGAAAGAAATCAAAAGAATGTGAGTGTATGAGCAAAGATTTGATACCCGACGGCAGCTTCCTCCTTGAAACGACAACTTATCAACTGTGTTTGTTCCTTCCTTCACTGGCCAGGTAAGTTTCACTGAGACGTTGCTGGAATTCCCCACTCGCCCTCGGCGAGTCAGCGCGCGTCTGATTAAACGCGCCTGCGCCCTGCAACCCACCTCTGAATCCCTAGCTACAGGCAGGGTCTAACGTCGTCAGGGGATAGGTAGGTAGGTGTACAGTGAAGCATTAAATTAGCGCTAGGTACCTACCTATTGTCACGCTAATGGTCAATGCTTCAACCACTTCGGAAGCCGAAAAGGGATATAACTGGACACTGCCATTTCCATTGTTGTCAGAAGCCAAGTACAAAGTGATACACCTTCACCTTACAATATCACAACGAGTTTATGTCAGAATAAAGCTCTGTAACCAGAGGCTCTGGTTGACGTATCGGTTGACTCCTCCTCAAATCTCCCTTAGTAGTGGAAATGGCTCTTAATCGGAAGTACGCTGCTCTTCCAGATCTGGTGCGTTGTTACCTCCGGCACAAAGAGAGCTCAAAAGTACTAACGACCCAACTTAGGATTCCGCTCCAGACATTTACGAGACCCCGGAACTCACAGATGACAACTCTACGGTCCCTGTAAGCTTCTTCGGGTTACATATACGGTCGGTTGACAGTCATTAACGTGTCTCTAGACAACCACTGCTCGAACCCATTCGGACGACGAGTTCTATGATATCGAGGATGAGACCCCTGGTATTTCCCGATCCCGGCTGCGAATAAATGAAGCGCGTTCTCGCTTTCTTCCCACCAACGTTGACGCGAACGGAGTCGACTTCTCGGACCGAGTCGACGGAAAGCGCAAGGCGTACAAGGTGTCCAGTCGAAGACAAAGAATACTGCAGGACGGCACCCAGGAGCTTGGCGATCTCTCTGATGACGACGACGACGAGAGTCTAGAGCGCCGAATTGCCCGCCTGAAGCGCGAAGTGGAAGAAGCAAAGAACGAATATGCGAAGCGAAAGGCAGAGTCACAAACAAAGGAAAACATTGACGCCACCACCGGTGACGACAGACTGGCTTCCCTCAGCCAAGTCTTGGACGAGATATCGCAACCCACCGGTCGGCCAACTTCGATTCGGATTCCAGGGACGAACGCAACTTCAAATTCTGAAGAGAAGACCGAGGCACCCTCAGCAGAGGATGCAACTTATACTTTAATGTACGAACCGACGTATGAACAAAGCCATGCGTTAGCCAAGGCAACTGATTTCGACCGTCGTTTATTGATGCTGGAGCGGGGACTTGGAATCAATGCTTCATTGATGCCAGAGTCTGACGCTAGTGGTCTTCCTCGTGCAATTCTGCCTACTTTGGACTCTATGAACAAGCAGATTTCTACGCTCGCCGAAGCTTCGACAGCCAATCTGGATGCCATCAGTCGGCGTGTACGAACACTGGCCCAAGAGCAGGACAAGCTGAATGACTCTCGGGAGAAGGCCAGATCATTGAGAGAAGAGCTTGGTCGAAATGGCTCCTCGGCTCAGAGTGAAGAGACTGAGCAGGAAGCCAAAATCAATGCCCTGTATGGCATCCTCCCTACGATTGAAAACTTGACTCCTATCCTGCCACCTCTACTGGATCGCCTTCGTTCACTGAGAGCAATTCATTCGGATGCTGCCACTGCGAGTGAGACATTGGCCCGCTTAGAGAAACAGCAAGCAGAGATGGCCACGGAACTGAAGCAGTGGAACGAAGGTCTTATCAAGATTGAGGCGGCCGTAAAGGACGGCAGTATGTCCATTGAGAAGAATAAGCAAGTTATGGAGGAATGGGTCAAGGATCTAGAGGAGAGGATGGAAGAATTATGAATAACGATGCGTTGATCTGATACCCCAGAAACTAAGCCAAGTAATTGACGAAACGAATCAGTCGAGTTGTTGATAACCAAATAACCAAAATGTCTAATCTTTTTCACTTCAGATAAATCTCATCATTCATGTCGTTGGTTCATTGGGTGTCGTGACCATCTCGCTCATTACAGTGGCGCCTCCAGCTGCGCCACGTGGCTGAATACAGGTCGGCTCAACTTTAATCCGATCGTGGGGTTAAGGGCTTTGTAGTTTGACACACCAAATTAATTGATTTGGTGAACCCAAAAAAAGTTCTATCTTCCTCCAGCTCACGTTCGCGACCACCGCCCATTCCACCCAAATTCCCAACAGTACGGCTTCTCCTCGACCCATCGCGCTTCCCATTCTCATCCAGCTCACCAGTTCTTCAGGTCGCAACAATGGACGCCTCCAAGCAGCCCGTCAAGCTCGTCAAGGTCACCCGAGTTCTCGGCCGAACCGGTGCGTCTCTCCCCGAAACTTGATATCGATGAAGCAAGATATCACAAGGATCGAATCGAGGGAACGAAGAAGGAATTTTCTGACTAGATGGATAGGTTCTCGTGGTGGTGTCACCCAGGTCCGCGTCGAGTTCATGGACGACCAGACCCGATCGATCATCCGAAACGTCAAGGGCCCAGGTACGATTTGATTCTCGAAGCCTTCGTCAGCGCACAAACGAGGGTTCAGAGTAGGAATGCAGGATTACAAATGCTAACGTACAACCACCATAGTCCGTGAGGACGACATCCTCTGCCTTCTCGAGTCCGAGCGTGAGGCCCGACGACTACGATAAACGCGCATCCTGGGGGAGCATGGGGTTCTCGAAAGACGGACAACGACGGATGGTCTATGCATGCTAATGCTATGGCGTGCGCGCCTTGTATTGGGACTGGGACATTGACCTGGAGCTGCACATGACACTCCAGTTTCATTTGTTAGAGGAGTCACACGGACGGATCTGGTCTGGCATAACGAAAAAATTCCAGAACAGTTGTTCTTCTGCATTATTGGAATCCGAAGAAAAGTGAAATTCATTTCTTGTTTTCTCCGCGGTATTCTCCCACTGTGTCAGCAGCTCCGATCCTTTCGAAGCTCAGCTCAGCTCAATCCAGGCAAGAAAATATCATACCAGGAGTTCTCTAATCAACAAGTGCTGTGAAACAATCTCAACGACCTCGGAACTTCAGCGTTGACCTGGCAACTGGAGATATTATACCTCTTTTTCTGTCTCTGACAATCAGCGTCTCCATAACTAACCTCGCTTCACATCGTGAATTCTAGTCACGTGCAACTTTTCTGATATCAAATTAGGCGGGGTGACCAGAGCAAATCTTAAGAAGTTTTCTTCTTCCACCTCCAATAATTTTCTTCCCACAACTCAAACGCTCTCCCAACTCTCTTGGTAAGTCAACACATTTGTTCTAATGCAATTCTATTTGGAATGATGTTTTTTAGCATGTATTACCTGAAACATACATTGATGTACCTTTTTATCACCAAGATCTCTGACCCAAACCCTCATTCACCACTTGTTTTTGAACTCTGTTTCTGGCCACGGGCTAACAATCGACAAAGAATTCTATAGGCGCCCCCCTTCCACAATGTCTTCAATCCCCAGGCCTCCAGCCGGACATTTCAATGTCCTTTACTTTGCCAGTGCTAGCTCTTTCACTGGTAAGGACTATGAACCTTTGCCGGCCACGATGCCACTCAACAAGCTCTTCACCGAGCTCGAGTCCAAGTATCCTGGCATAAAAGCCAAGATCCTCGATTCCTGTCTAGTCACTGTCAACCTCGATTATGTAGATTCGCCTAGTGAGGAGGGTGCTTCAGACACAGTTATCCAGGAAGCAGACGAAGTGGCTATTATCCCTCCAGTCAGCTCCGGTTGAAGGATATCGAGTGTCAGTTGCAAAAATCGCTCGGTGTCTGTACCGTGACTCTTCTAAACCTCGTAGTCGTGGGTCGACCCTCGAGATTTTATCCTAGGGACCTCCATTATCCGGCCAGCTTCCTGGTAGTAGTGGCTCAAGTTCTCCAGCTCGTAACCACGTCCTTGCCCAGCGTTGATTCCGTAGCCGCCACCAACCAGGATGCTTCTTGTGGTACTGCCAGAACCATCGGATAGCCATCACAAGACCGACCATGAGCAAAACAAAGACCAGTGTCGATATAATGGTGATAATGGCAGTGAGACTGGTGATTGACGAAACCTGGCACCCGAGCGGCCTTGTCCGTAACTCCCAGCGTTCAGCCCAGTGTGGACAGACATTCTCGTCGTAAGCTGGTGCCAGCAGCGGGATGTTGCTGGTATTCGGCACACACGACCATGTCTGCGAGTTCGATAAGTATGTACAAGCTGAAGCGATATGGTTTGTATATGAAAGCCTACAAAAGGACACCAGCCACACTGTGAAGCTGCAAGACAACCTTTGCATGTCTGATGCTTCCAACATCTTAGGAAGTGTTCGTCATCATGATTCCCATGAAAGGTGAAGTTGGCTCGCGCAGCCTGAATGTCAGATTGAGACAACCGCAAAAACTCCATAGTCTTTGATTAAAGGCGAAATTCTAATGATGTATCAAATTGACTATAATGGCGACACCAACTTGAGTTGATGTGCTTATCATAAACTCAAAAGCGGCTAAGAATTGAGATTGTGCGGGGAAGCATCATACATACGTCAACCCCTGTAGCCAAACACACACCATGTTTGAAATCGATGCCTTAGGACTATCTACTCTTAGCACAGCTCGGTATTGCTTGACACATGACTGAACGAGCACGCCGCAATCATACAAACCTTGGCGAGCGTTTGTAGTCTCCTCTAACCCAAGCGTAACGATGTGTCCGTTGCATTCAGAGACACATTAATGGCTGGAAGTGGGAGAACGAGTTGCTACACCTCATTCACCAAGCATCAGACCATGGCGCGTTCTCTCATCTGTCGAGATTTCCTCACTCGTCGCTTCACCTCCCTGATGTCTGCCCGCCTTCTCTTCGACCTTTCTTCCTTCGATTCCCGCACTGGTTCGTTGCCCAGACTCTCAAGCGGCATGAGATCAGCCAGAAATTGTCGGATGTGTAGGCCAGTCTTCTCATGGATGAATGAATCAATCTGCTCATTGCAAGCTGCCGACGATGCAATATGAAGACCCCTTAGCACATCGCGATCTAGGACTCCATCCTGGTCATAATCTTGATTGGCTGCTCGAAGACTTCGAATGGATGATGTTCGCTTTGGTACGTTTGGTCGTCCAATCTTTCGACCAGAAAAGCCTCGTGAACAGACAGTAACATGATTTGGTGGTATGGAAGGGCTTCCATACTCGATTCTCCTGTCCGATGTTACATTTGCTTTCTCTTTATCAAGGAAGTCCTTCTTCGAAGTAGATGGTGAGACATCTCCCACAGACAATCTGCAGCTTTGTTCTGTAGCTGTTGATGACAGATCTGAGTGGGGGAGTTCTGGCAAAGGTTTGCTGGACTTTCTTGTGGCATGTAATTGCTGTGGGACAACAATATCAGCATTTAAGCTATGGCGGCTTCTGGGGTGAGGTTGCACCATTGCGGACTGCTTGATATCTCTCGAGGTCTGCACTGGTCTGATGCATGGGCTCTCCTCTTCGTTTCCTTGGCTACAATTTCTGTTTGGATAAATGCCATTCTTTGCACAAGGGTGGTGTTTATTTGAAGATGGGCCAGCATTATCCTGAACTGCTGATTCCAAGGACACGCTCGAGCCGATCATAGGTGTCCCTCGCCCAGTGAAAAAAGCCCGGTTTGCTTGCTTCGCCTTTGGTGCGCTTCGTACTGCTGGAGAAGTCGATTTCGTCTTCCGTTCGTCGAGGTTCTTCCGCTGATTCGCCCTTCTCTCCAAAGATGTGACAGCGGGCCATTCGGGATATGTATGCATTCGTGGTCTGGGAAGCTTGGCCGTAGGTCCTGTTAGAGCCTTCTCGTTGAGGGATTCTGAATATAAAGGTTTTGTTTTCTGTGCAAGCTGCAGACAATTCTAATCACTACTACATTGACACAGATCTCCCAGTTGACAAGAACTGCAGCAAGTCCGTGGCACTTTCTGCTCAGCTTTTACCTTCTTTCTTCGATACTTATGGAGCCTTGGCTGGTCCACCATTGCATATCTGAACTCGTCCATGTCTTTTGAAACCGGGAAAGGGATTTCTGTGCTCGAACTGGGACACCCTGCGTGGCCATCCATTTGGAGGATATGCTGTTGTTCGACACGAGACGGTGGTGCTTGGTTCATTATCGCTCTATGTTTACCAACAGGAGACCGGTGGGAGGAACGTTTCTTTTGATCTTTTGAAGTAATCGCAAGACCGGCAGCCTTAAACTCAGAACGAAAGGGTAGAAGAGCTGCTATCGTATGAAGGCTTGTGCAGGAACGCGGTGGGGTCGGAGTAGGTATCGGCAGCCTGCCTTTTGCACCTGCCTGCTCAGCATATCTCTGCAGCTCTTGAGTGAATCTATTCAGAGCTTCCATCCGGCTTGGGGTTCTCGACTCGTTTTCGAGGCTATCCGAGGTCCGGGAACTTGGCCGTTGGGTGCCACTTTGTCCATGAACGCTTGTGTTGTTGATTGATAGCATCTGTAGTTGCTGGGCTATATTTCTCGAAATGGCCTCCACGAGTTCGTCGTTTATATTCTGGTGACCTTGTGCAACAGAACTGTTGCTGAAGACATCCGCAGCATGACTGTGCAACGGTGCAGGACATGCGTCTGCCTCCATCTCGGATAGGTGGCCTTTGAGAGTCGAACGAGACACTTTTCTCGGGGGTGTTGAGCCACCGAGCTCGGACATATGCAAGGGACTGACATTTCTATGAGCTTCCTTTGAAGGTACCGAGTCGTCTTTGGAGAGATGCTGGGATCTCGAAGATACATCACGTCTTGGCCGTCTGTCGCGAGTAGGCAAACTCTTGTGTTGCTTTCCTGGTCCAGAGGCGGCGGAACCAGGCTCAAATTCATCCATCCAGTCTGCTTCACCATTGTAGTCCATTTCCACGGCGCCGTCGTTCGCTTCTTGAACGTGACTAGGCTGTTTGGTTGGGCTTGTTATATATGAAGTTGCATCGGGTGGTGATGAACTCGATCTATGGCCATGATGTTGCTGGTTTGTGCTCTGGTACCTTACACGTACAGATCGTCGTGGTCTAAAAATGGTACGACCACGAGCCCTTGAGCTATCGCTGACAGAATGAGGTTCCCGTGTGGTGGGCAAATTTGAGTCGCGGAAGCCGGGGTTAGATTCTGACATGACCATTCTGCAATACACGAGCTACAAGGGTTTAAAAGAACTGACTGCATGAGAAAAACGATGGCTTGTATATGTCGGTACGGTAGAGTGATAATACAATGAGTTTGTGCTGATGATGGGTGAGAGAATTCTGGCCGAGGTAGGTAATGTTGGATTTGTGAGGATTCCGAGAACCTGCTCGGCCAAGTATTGGAAGGTAGGTAGGTATCTCAAGTAGGTACTCTACAGGGTAATAATTTTTACATCTCTTGCCGCATTGTTTCAGTCAAATACATCCAACTGAAATTTGAAGTGAGAGGCAGGAGCCGCCGGACGCCGCCTATTTGATGTCTTTGATGCCTGGTGAGCCGTAGACCTCAAGTTGGCGTCGTCCTTTCCGTAAGAGGAATTCAATGGCGGCAAAGTCGCGCTTATCGATAGCCAAGTTCCTAGAGAACTCATGTCTATTAGAGAAATATTAGAGTGTTGATAACTAGAAGCTCGCAAGTTCGGGAGTAGCTCACCTGGCAAAGCTCTCAAAATGTGAGCGAGTGGCCTGGGTCCCATGTTAGTCATAGAGATCACGAATGAATAATCGGTTCATACTTGTGGCTTCTTTCGACTCTCTCTTAGACAGTTTCTGTAGAGTGCGAGGACCTCTTTTTGGAGTCCTGAGAGGCGTGCCATTTTTCATTGATTGGCTTCGGTCGAGGTTAATCACGATCGAGTAATTCAAGTGTTGATGTAATCACTACCTAGGTAGTTAAAGTCGAGATATCTTTGGCTGGGGAAATATTGAAGTATCATTGTGGAGACTCGATCTACCTTCGGTACCTACCCACTACCTAAGGTAACTCTGGGGTTCTGGTTGATTGTCTTGTGAGACCTCAAGGACAAATAGATCGATGTCCATCTCTAACATCTCAATTGATAGAAGGTAGTTCACATGTGCCAACTATCGAAACAAGACCATCAATACTAACGACTTCATTTATACTTCTAACCCGGCAAAATCATGATGTGCCTGACTGAGGAACGGAATTACAGGCAGAATAGCCACCAACAACCGACCGGGCAGGGGTCCCATTACCTACACTGTACTCCGTACCCAACCCGCTAACTTAACTTATTAGTATATGGATCTTCCACTGTTAACGCCCGATCTGCCTTGTGCTGAGACTCATTACAGCTACACCAAACTGCTAATATTAGTATCGCCTCACCCCTTTCAGGCTACAGTTCTCCCACTTCAGACCACGCGCACCGTTCTAAGGCACGCTAGTATTATGAGCTGAAACTCGGCCTCGTTCCTAATGGTCTTCTAAACAGCGTGTGCCACTTCGCCCGCTTCTGCGGTAGAAATCCAGACATGGCCAGGCAAATGCGAGCGTGCCACGAGATGGGGCATCTGATTGGCCGCATGCCATTCTTCTATCAGGATGTTGCTCCATCCCCAAGGCATTCCATGGCATGGCATGATAGCCTCTCTCTAAGACTGCCCCCAGGGCTGACTCTGGACCTAGAAAGTGCCTGGTTGAGCTAGTGATGTGACAAATCGGTCATGTCATGACCCTGAAGAGAACCATTAGGCACTGGAACCCCCTTGCCTACGGACGCTCCCATGCTTCATGGACAGAGTTCAGCCAGCATATGGACGTTGATTAGCTTACACGGGGCCACCAGGATCGGGTAGGTTGACCTGCAGATCTAGGACACCTCTCTACGCATCAAACTTGTGTATATAGCTTTCTGTCGCATGATCAACACTATCGACCCGTTCGACCAGTCAAACATATCATTGCTTTGTCTCTCACCAGGGGCATACTCCATTGTTGGCCTCCCTGGTTGACACCTTTTATCTTTTTATGCGGACGAGAGTGCTTTCATGTTGATAACAATAGCGGGCATGGCAGGGTTGAGTCGTGAACAGCCCCTCATGCCTGGTGCCTTCGGACCTGAAGATGACATCGATTTTTATGAGGGTCCCTTCGAAGTTTTCAACGGCTCTGGAACTTCTAGGGAGAAGCAAGAGCAGCGAGCTTCTTGGGCGGTCAAGAAATTGCCCGATCTTGATATTGTTGACCTCGACTGGCACAAATACAGCCCACCAAAGGCATTAGGAAAGGCACCAAATATCACGTCTCAAGTCCTTCTCGACGTACTTCAGTCTTCAGTTGAGAATGTCAACGCAAGAATCATTGAAGAGGATCGCCAAAAGAAAGAAAACGAGGAGCAAAGAAAGCAAGAGGAAAATGAGAAGGGCAAAAGCAAGGAGCCTTATCTGCCCATCATTATACCTACAGAAACCCTAGTCGAGGAAAAGACTAATCACGCCGTACCTCCCCCCAATATTAAAAAAGAGATTCTGATGACAACTTTTGGTCCTAGCGTTGTCACCCAGGCCGATGCAAGAGCAAATAAGAGACGCCTTTTTGCCCTTCGCCGTTTCTTCCAGCGCAGTGATGAGCGAGGTGAGAGTAGCGCCACGGGTGCCGCTCTCGGAGCTTTGCAAGAACGGGTCGCAGAAGCTGAGCATGTTAATGACAGTCTCGGCCGGTTGACTAAACTAAACTCCGTCGAGGAAGTGTAAGTTCTGGTACCGCATATAAGATTCCCCTACTAACAACCTAATCTCAGGGAATGTGTGTCCTGTCTGGACGACTTTCATCCCAAGGACGTCATCAAAGTGCCTTGTCATAACTATTGTCGCGACTGTTTTGTTCGTCTGGTTACTGCTGCATGCCAGAATGAACAACAGTGGCCACCCAAGTGCTGCCTAAACGAGATACCCGTCAAGACCGTCATGCGTTTCATCCCGTCCGACCTGAAAAGGACATTTGAGGACCGATCCAAAGAGTGGGAGCTCCCCGTCAGCGACCGTGTCTACTGCAGCAATCCGAACTGTAATCTCTGGATCAAGCCCAAGCGGATCTATGCCGGGAAGCGTCAAGGAATATGCGATCGCTCTCATGTAACATGCACGTTATGTCGTGGGCCCGCTCATGCTGGAGAGGATTGTCCTCAAGATGTCGATATGAGTCTCACGAACCAATTGGCCGAAGACGAGGGCTGGAAACGATGTTTCAACTGCAACGCCTTGGTAGAGCATAGGGAGGCTTGCCAGCACATGACTTGTAGGTGTGGCACCCAATTTTGTTACGTTTGCTCTCGACGATGGCGAACTTGCACTTGTACGATGGAGGACCTTCAGGCCCTGAAGGAGGGGGTTGTTTCTAGACGCGCAGAAAGGCGCGCCCAGGAGTTAGAGGAGGCCGAGGAATTACGGCATATTCTTCTGCAAATCGAGGAGTTTGAGCGTGAAGAGGCTCTCAAGGCCGAGCTTCTACGATTGGAGCAGGAAAGATTAGAGGAGGAACGCCGCCAGCGTGAGCTCGAGGAAAGAGTACGGCAGGAGAGTATCCGTCGAAGGGATATTGAAGTCCAGTATCAAGAGCTGAGGACCGTACTCGATGAGCTGCATGACCTGCAACAAGTATTGCTCGATGTTGACCAAGAAGAGGAAGCTGAGAATATGATTATTGGCATCAGAGCTGCAAAGCAAGAGTTGGAAATGAAACACGAGACAGAGCTATCCGAGTTGAAAGCACTCGCACTGGCTAAGATGACCGAAAGGGAAAATTCACTGAATAATGACTTCCGAGTTCGTGCAGCGAAGGAGAATGAGCTTGAAGAAGCCTACCATGAGCGGCTCAAAGCATATTGGGAAGGCAAGGATAACGGGGAACAAGAAGTTGAGAATTCGATGCTCGCTCTCAGAAAGCGTATGGATCAGAAACACCATGCGTGGCAGAAGTGGAAGACCGGCCAGCTCAAGCTCGTGGAGGCCAAGCTCGAAGAAAACAGAACATATCGAGAGGAGCTCATGTATAGCGCCAAACACCGGCTAGACGACTCTTGCAAAGAGAAAGAGGCGGAGATGATGAGGCGTATGGCAGCTGAGAAGAAGTGGCTTGAGGCTGTGATACTGGAGAGAGAGAAGCTGCTGAATGAACGGGAGGCTCAGGAGGTTGAAGGTGATGCAGACAGCATATTTGCGGTGGAGTCAGAAGATTCCGGGGACGGCCACTATGTTGTTGCCACGTCATTTTAGATCGTATAGACAGTATACAAATAGTCATCACAACACTCATCATAGCTTGTCGTTATTCTGTAATTGTGATATTTTTGTCCTGGGTGTTCTTCATCTTTGCAGTAAAATGCTAGTCACGTGCCGCGACTTGCACAAAAAACCTCTATTCTTAAGTAATTCAACTCCTATATACAACTCACTACAGACCGAGAAGCACATCGCGACTAATAAGAGTCTACTCCTGGCTTCTCTTTTTCTTTCTCAAAATGTCGATCGGTGAAAAGTGTGAATCTGACCAGTAAGTTCATATCATCGCTCCAATATGTCCAGGGTATGTATGTATGCCTAACATTATGAAATAGTCCACTCAAGATCTTTGATGTGGCTAGGAAACAGGATCGTTTCTTATATGCTCTTGCACCTATGGTTCGATATGGAAAGGTATATTTCGGTGAATGAAATACTTTGAAAAGAAAAACTGCTCATATTAGCTAGTTGGCATTTCGACAAACAGTCCACAAATACGGAGTTGACCTGTGTTGGTCTCCTATGATCCTTGCCAAGGAGTTTAATCGAAGCAGTTTTGCCCGAGACAGCGGTAGGTCATCGTATGCCTGTATAACAAGCTCTAAGCTGATGTACTGGAAAAGATTTGACCATCTCTACTACACCAAAGCAACCACCAACTATCGTCCAGTTTGGCGCAAATGTTCCCCTGGAACTTGCTCGTGCATCAGCTCTCGTCGCCCCTTACACCCAAGGTGTCGATCTCAACTGCGGATGTCCACAGTCATGGGCTTGTGCCGAGACGTTGGGTGCTGCATTGATGAACCACCGTGAGTTGGTAAGGGACATGGTGGTTGAGACTCGGCAGCGTTTGGCTAGTGATGGATGGGGTGTTGGCCTTGAAAAGGACATCGACAGTCCCAAAGGCCGAAGTGTGAGTGTGAAAATCAGGATTCACAACGATCTCAGGTACGGCCTCTCTTTCAGATAAGACAGATTTATTTACTGACACATTCAGGCAAACCATGGACTTCATAGACACCGTGATAGGTCACCCACAAAACCGCCAGATCGACTGGATCACCATTCACCCACGGACAAGATCAACCCCATCAACCACACCAATCAGGACCGAAGCCCTCGAGATCTTGACAGCCAAGTACTCGAAAACACTCCCAATACTTCTTTCAGGAGATGTTTTCGACCTCAGCACTCTCCCCTTCCAGCCTACCATCACCACCAATAACGACTTTCCCCTCCCCTCGCTGGACAAACTTGTTCTCGACGATACCAATTCCGCTGTGAACATGCCACGCCCTAGTAACACTCACCTCTCTGGATTCATGTCCGCTCGTGGTCTCCTTGCTAACCCAGCCATCTTCGCTGGCTACTCGGCTTGCCCATGGGAAGCTGTTGAAACCTTCATGTGCAAGGTTGCAAAGGCCCCTGTACCATTCAAGCTGGTACAGCACCACGTTATGGAAATGACAGCGCCGGGCATGGGGACTGACAAGGCATCGCTTCTAGATAAGAAAGAGCGCGCAGAACTCATGAAGTTGACCAACACTTGTGAGATCATGGACTTCCTCGATGAGAAGATTGAGCAGAAGACGGGGAGAGCTGGTGGCATGAGACGAGACCTATGAACCACTTCTCCGTATCACATCACTAAAGGTCCTTGGACTACGGAAAGAGAGCATGGTATCTCATTCAATGCATTCATGGCTACAAAAAAACAACTCTCTGCAACCCATTCTACAGAGTTTCCCTTGATCCGCCTCTTGCACCAACGCTCAAAGACCACTCAAAACGCTCTGAATACCCACTGTCCCCGAGTCATCACGCCTCTGCACAAACGCCCTAAAGTCTGCTCTGGACAGTTTCCCCCTTATGCCCGATGCCGCCAGTGTTCGTGTCTTTTCGCGGAGTGCTTCGGGGCCGACGATAAAGAGTGAACCAATCTCAGTGAGCATTTCGACAGCGGAGCCAACCTCCTTGGTCAATGGCCACTCGCGCATTGTGGAAACGTACTTTGCGATATCCTGCGTGACCATCAGACCTCCTGTGGCGTTGACCTGGAACTTCTTGAAGTGCTCAAAGAGCAACTTCAGAATCACCAGAGCAAGCTCGGTAAAGAACTTTTCCGAGTTTTGGCCGTCGATAGCTTGACGAGCGAGACGCTGGACGCGGGCTAGGAAATTACAGATGCTCAGACACGTCTGTGTCTGCAATGAGTCGAGCTCGACCTCTTTTGGTCGGAAGTCCTGCTTCCGCTGACCAGCTAAGGACTTGGTCACCCAGTTGGACACAACGTCGATAGTGCCCTTGATGACATTGTTTGTCTTCTTCTCAATGTTACCAATGGCCACCCTCTTCTGCGCCTCCATGCTACGCCTGACTGTTGTGTTTGATTCCGCAAGCCGGATGAGCACGACTGTGATGAATCGATCCATGAGGCTTGTGATTGTGACAGCCGGCTGTATCGTTGGCAAGTAAGATAAATCAGGCTCAGTCTTTGTGTTCTCCTGCACAGAGACTTGGTCAAGGGCAGCGTCGAGAGTTGTCTCGATGTACACCTGGCCCAGGCTCGTCAAGAGCAGATTCAGGAGAGTATTGACATCCTTGGGAGTATCGGTCTGTGTTCCGAGTTCAAGAGTGCGCTGGACGCTCTCGGCTAACCACTTGAGCATGCGCTTGGCATTAGCAACGCTCAAAGCGCCGTCCTCCTCCGAGACCTCGATCTCGTTCTTGTTATCCTTGTCCTTATCTTGAACGCCAGCAACACGCAGCATCATTTTCTTCTGTGTGCTTGTGAGTTCTGACGAGTCGAGACGCTCGATATAAGCATCCTTTGCGGAGGCAATCAGTTGTGTGCCTTGCTGGGCCAGTGAAGCCATGAAACCAGTTGGCGCCTTTTTCCGTCTGGAATGGTATATACTATACTTGAAGAGCAGGGAGCTGTACATTTCTTCCAGACTCTTCCGCTCCCGCTCGATGTACGAGTTGCCTATCATATATGGCACAAAAAGCTCTTCCATCTGCTGGTCGAGTGTGTGTGCTATTTGGGCGGAGCAAGGCTCGGGGTGTTCTGTCAAGCCATGTGACTTGAGATCTTCGACCAATGACCCTAGATAAGTTCTTGAGGAGTGCAAGGCTCTCAAGAAAGCCAAAGAAGAGATTTTGAGAGTTTCATCCAATACCATTTCGAGCCTCTGTTGGATTGACTGCTGAAATATTCGTTGAATGAACTTGATAAGCACTGTTTCGTAGTACGGAAAGATGAGTTTGATCTGGTTGGACTCGTCCTGCATAACGATCTTGATCTCGTCCAAGAGGTTCTGCAGGCTCGGTTCTACCGTTGGCGGCTCCGAGTCAGGATCTGCCAGCTGTTCCCATGTGTCGCTATCCACCTGAACCTCGTCGGCCAGGAGTTGATCGCGGTCCAGGAAGAAGGCATGCTGGTTGACAAAGGTCGCAATGACACTGGCACCTCCGTTGAAGTCGTAAAGAACCTTTGCACATTCCATCATGTCGCTATAGTTGCCCTTTTTGTTGCTGTTTTCGAATTGTTGAAGCAGATCCTGCTCGAGCGTCTCGCAGAACTTCTCCAAGACTTCCCTGGTGTTGTGTAATCTTATATTTCCAACCACACCATTCGTTTGTCCTCCGTTTCGCTGGCCGTTCGTCTGCCCCCATGATGTTGGATCAAGTCGCTGGCTGATGCGCATGAGTTGTCGAACAATCATTGCGCACCGTACTTTGTGCTCAGAACCAGCCTGTCTTTGAACGTCTTGTAGGAGTGATAGCTTTCCCGTCTCGCTGACCTCCGTCCAGCACTGAATCAGAAATATGGCATCGTTCGCACGCCGTCGTTTCTTGTCCAGGTCCTCGAGCTTCTCGCCGATTTGGAGCGCTATGTTGCCGCCAGCGTGGGTTTTGATGCCGACTCCGTTTTTAAAAGAGTGTTCTTGGTTGAGGGATAGATCTAACTGTTCGAACGCCCTCATCGACTCGTCGAGCTTCTGACCTAGGGTCTCGAGTGTTGAGTCATGGGCTACCTCTGCGCGGCGCACATGCGACATAAGCTCCGACTCCTTCTCCTGAAGTTCAGCTCCAAGCGAGCCTAGTTGATCAAGGGCATCTAACAGCTCGAGTCAGCACGATTGGCTCTGAATATATGAGCCTGAGAGTGTATGTCGGTCATACTTTCAAATGTTCGAATAAGGGGTTTTGGGTCGAAAGGTGTTTGCGCACTCCCGGACCGGCGATTCGAGGGCACGGCGCTCTCAGCTAGGCTATCGACAAAGTCACGCACAATAAAGTCCTTGTTGGAGAAGTCGTCCAGAGTGAAGCTTGGCCCTCTCGGGAACAGAGTCTTGGGGCCGGAAGCGGTGCGCTCCATGTTGTTGTTTCTGATGAGAGTAGAGGCGCTACATGTGGAGAGGGATCATCAACAGCTCGATACGTGGAAGAGGAGGAACGTGGTAGTAGTGTGAGGAATGGCTGTAGCGCAGTCTGGACTGTTTGCTCTCGTCGACGATCTCGTTTCGTTGTCGGTCGTCAAGGGGTCATGGTATTGCGTTGCAGGGCGATACCTAGGTTAGGATACCTCGCCTCAGAGTGAAGCACTGAACCTCGCCCAGAGCTTAGGTAGGTAGGTATGTATTCCCGCCCGCCCGCTGTCGCAGCTCCAGAGGCTCAGCTTACAGCGCCCAGCCCCGCTATCAGCTGCCGATTTCCAGTGGAGGAGGAGCTGAGCCACAGGCGGGCACGTACGTGACCTGCAAGGCCAAGAGCTACGGTGGAGAAAAGCGACGTAACCCGTATCGCGCCGCCACGACTTTTCTTGCCATCCATGGCCTTGTCTTGATTTAAATACACGTCTGACCACATTCACCTGTCCAAACTTATAAGCCTGCCCATCCTCGGTTGTTTACGCGATTGCATCCGTATTTGACTATTTACAAAGTCGGAACTCTGTCGCCAACATTTCAACCTCTCAGACACACTTTCGCAGCTCCAGTCGCATATCAGACAGCCTCGAGGCTGCACATCAATAGCCATGCCCATCATGACGACTCGCGATCGTCAGGCCTATAGGGCCGACGAAACCAAAGGCCATACGTTGTTGTCAGAGAAGGAGAGGCAAAGGATGCTCAATGTATGGTCGCAAAGTGCGCATGATTGCAGTGCGCCATGCTAACTCATCGCAGTCTTATCTCCCTAAACCCAATGATCCTCCGCCTACTCTAGGCTCAAACTCTCGACCACAGCGACGATCGCGGTTAGGACTTCGTCGCTTCGTTCTGAACCAAATACACGTCCTCATTTTTGCCATTATGCATGGGATCTTCTCTCTTTACATAAAGATACGCCAGACCTGGAACGTGGTGGGCTACCAGATCTCATCCGTTGTCAAATATCATCATGGTACACCGCAATACATCAAGAAGGACCTCGTTGGTCTGACGAAAAAGCCAAAGCATCTCAGTGTTATTCTGAAGCTCGAGGAGAATCACCGCACAAAAGCTGACGTCGAGAGGCTCCTTGACGAGGTAGCCGAGATTGCGACATGGTGCGCCTGCGCCGAGATTCCGATGCTTTCTGTGTATGAGAAGACAGGTTCGTAGTTGCACATGTGATACTCTTGTACATACTCTAACATGTAGCAGGGATCCTCAAGAAGCACATGCCCCGAGTCTACGATGCTGTTAACCAAAAATTCGCATTCTACTTTGGCCCCGAGCACCCTGGTCTTAGTGTTACATCACCCCATAAGGAGGACCTCCCAGGGCCCTTTAGTGAGAAGCCCAGGGAGCATCTGCGTCTGCACCTCATCTCCGAGCAAGACGGCCGTGACTCCATGGTCGATCTCACCCGTACCTTGGCTGAAATGTCGCAGAGCGGCAAGCTTTCTCCTCACGACATCTCCACGGAACTGATTGACGCTGAGCTTTCTGAGGGCATCATGGATGAGCCTGATCTTTTACTTACGTTTGGTCCCTACCTCGAATTGTCGGGTTATCCTCCCTGGCAGATCAGATTGACTGAGATCTTCTGCTTGCAAGACAACGAGAGAGTTGGATACCAGGTCTTCCTCAAGGCTCTGCAACATTACGGCAGAGCCCAGATGCGCCATGGTAAATAAGGAGCCTGCTGTATAAATTTCCCTTTGTTGTTCGTACTTCATATACCTTTAGAAATAATCATATCCGGAGTCATGGTTTCCAGAGCAGCATTTCTCGGGCCTCCCTATTCCATCTGTACACTGGCCCTGTGCCTACATTGTAGTTGTAGTAATTGTCTGTTCCTCCTTTGACAATGGCTCTTCGAAAAGTTATGTTGATCCTTCCGCCATCTTCTTGGTTCTTCCCGGTTCGCTTTGGTATAGAGTGCAGCCAGTTAGACTGCGTTCTCCCTCTCATTAGGACCATGTCACCACTTCCCAACGGTAGTTTGAGCGGTTTCGCATTCACAGAAGGAGGGCTAGGAGCATTCGGAGGTGGCGGTTTGTGCTTCATAAGAAAATCACGACGTGCCCCTAATGAGAAAGAAGCGATGGCTGGCTCACGACCCAGGAACTGCTCATCATCGCTGTGATAGCTGATGCTGTCGGAGCCAGAGGCGTAATAGTTGACGAGGCAGAAGTTGTATCTACAGCCTGTAGCTAGCTCTGTTCTGTGGCGAAGTTCATCAAGGCATTTTGGTATAGGCCTGGGAGGATATCTGGCGTATTGTTTATCCAAGGCTCTCGAGCCTGTATTGGCGTCTACAGGGAGACCTTTGTCGTTGAACTTGCAAGTCTCATCAAGACCAAATACAGTTGTCCATCTGATAATCTGCATTAGCATGGTTTCTTCCAAGAGAAATGCAGGTTACCTTGGAGTTCGTATCTGGGTTTCTATGCCGCCTCGCTTGATCTTATACTCGACTCTGTAGAACGGGAGTTCTGAACGAAGAAACTCAAAGAGTCTCCTAGATACCGAACCTGAGATGAAGGGCTCAAAGTACAGGAGGTCAAGGTCAGGTTGGTCGTTGATCTCTCGTCCGGGTTGATCTGGTAGAGTAGACAGCTCCTTGCTTAAAGATGCTGGTAGGTTCTTGATGGGATGAGGGTAGAACTGATGCTCAGAATATGTGATCTATGATCGTTAGAATTCATGCTGACGAGTTCTTGTGTGCATTCTCTATGAAATTATCTCTTACTTCTTCTGAAATCACGTCGCTACTACTAGAAGTGATTGCTCCAGTCTCTGTTTTGGGTTTCTTTATAGTCGGACTGAAGAAGGCATCAAGAGTGCGCTTCCTAGACATGATGACGGATATTGCAATAGGGTTAATTTTCAGATCAACTCAGCCTCACAACTGAAAATTGGTAAATTATCTGGATCCAGGTTTCTTTGCCTAAACAACGATTGGCAAACCGTGAATATGTACCTATCTTGGAGTCGTGACATCACTCCAAACTCCCAGCCTTGCGTATAAGTGAGAGTGTGGCGCATTCTGGATGTGGCTGTGCACAACCATTTAAATTCGAGCCCTAAAAAGCTCAATCAGCCTCATTTCTAAGGTCTAACTGAACTGAGGGCCCAGGGAAATAATAGTCAAGACCCTTGTTTGACTCAAATCAGTCAGTCAGTGCATTTTCGCCAAAAAATTCAACAATACCTGAGGTCATTATGGATGTTAGTTCTCAACCCCTGTCACTAGATACAAGATAGAAGAAAACTAATGAGTATCAAAATTCTTAGAAAAATTCACAGTTGCGAGAAATGAACCTCTTCCGAGCACCAGCCGCTCGTGCGGCAAAGACACTCGATAGGTCTCTCTTTGCAAAAACTCTTAACGCTGCGGCGGCTTCTATTAAGGAGAATAAGCTGCTGTCCAAATATAGAAAGGAGCTTGAGAAGACAAATGAGGTTTTGTTCATGGAGAGATATAATCCCGTCTTGCCTGATCCAGACCCGTCACTTGCTTCTCAGGGCAAAAAATGTATCGTGTTGGCTCCTCAGATTAAGCCTACGTGTAAGTTGTGAAATGTTCGATGGACTGGTTGTTAAGTATGCTAATCGTGAAGAATAGCCCCAGAAACATGGAGTCCCATCCTCAAAGAAGCCTCGAAAGTCGGTGATATCAAGGTGGTGCCGTATGATATTGAAATTGGATATGACTCTTGGTCTTATCGTACGTATGCACACAAGCCTCATTGACAAGCGCACACTGACAAGTACGAGTTGATGTTATGAAATCCATTCTTCCAGATGAACTTCACGAGGAAATCCCAAGCGGTTTCAACACCGTGGGACACGTCGGTATGCTCCTCACTCGTCAAACAACCAGCATCCTTGTTAACATATAAACGCAGCCCATCTCAACATCCGTGATCAGTACCTACCTTACAAGAACATTATCGCCCAAGTGCTTCTAGACAAGAACCCTCACATCAAAACCGTGATCAACAAGATCGATAATGTCGGTTCAGAGAACGAGTTCAGGACATTTGCCTACGAAGTCCTTGGTGGTCCCGATGATATGAACGTGGAGGTGAGCGAGGCCGGCTGCGTCTTCAAGTTCGACTACTCCAAGGTATACTGGAACAGCAAGCTCGACACAGAGCACAAACGGATTGCAGGACTTTTCAAGCCTGGAGAGGTTGTTGCGGATGTCATGGCTGGTATTGGACCCTTTGCGGTGCCGGCTGGCAAGAAGGGCGTCTTTGTCTGGGCCAACGACAAGAACCCAGAGAGCTACCGCTACCTTGAGGAAGCGATCCGCAGGAATAAGGTGAGCTCATGGTCACTGTCGTCTCATAATGGTTCGATGTTAACATTTAGATGCAGGTCTCGGAGTTTGTCAGGCCCTTCAACTACGATGGCCACGACTTCATCCGCACATCCGCAGACCTTGTCCTGGAGGCATCAAAGCGCGGCGACTGTGCCGTGATCAAGCCTCCAAGGCAACCAAGAAACTCTACGGCTCCGCCCCCGGAGCCTGTCCGAGTGCCCGTGCCACCAACGATCTCACATTTTGTCATGAACCTCCCGGCATCCGCAATTGAGTTCACACACAATTACCGCGGTCTGTACCACGGCCACGAGGAGCTGTTTGAGCCTCACACCGAGACCAAGCTGCCCATGGTGCACGTGCACTGCTTCTCGGTCAAGGCTGATGACGAGACACCCCTCATGGACATCTGCGAGCGGATACGTAAAGAGATTGGCGTCTTACTCAGACCGGGAGATCCCGAGAACCAAGGCGAGGTGCTCATCTACGATGTGCGCGATGTCGCCCCAGCAAAGAGAATGTTTTGCGCTTCATTCCGTCTACCGCGTGAGGTTGCCTTTGCCGAGAGGGCTTAGACGGGGGTCGGTCGATGTCGATATTGATGGCGCCGGTAGATCTCGGGCTCCGGGTGAGACTTTGTCGGCCGGGCGAACGGCCGGAGGGGTCTTCCCTTGTGCGGTGCGGTGTGTTGCGTGTTCAATATTCTACTCTACTTTACTTTACTTCACTGTACTGTACTGTACTGTAACGTATCCGCGCCGCGATAGGATATCGATTGACCTACCAAATGCAGTACGAGGCCGGAAACTCAAAAGGAACAGACCAAGGCGCCTAGACTTGAGACGAATGCAACTCTACTCTACTCTACTCTACTCTACTCTACTGTACAGTCAAGAACAGGGTCGCATTCGTCGGGATATGGCCGTCGATAATGAGGCGCTTACAGTACTTATCGCTGATATCTTGTCCGTCTCCAAGACCAAGACCCCCAGCCAAGCCAAGCCAATTAGTGGCTGGGTGAGTTTTGCCGTGTTCCATTCAGGCACGATGACGCTCTCATGATAGACTAGATGATAAGTCAGTGTGCAGTAGAGGGAGAAAGAGAGAGAAAGAGAGAGAGAGCCGCGATAACGGTCCTGCGGGGATCCTTTGAACCGTTAGAAAGCAGAACATGACAGAGCCAGAACAGATTTGCTTGCAGCCGGTCAACGCAGTTTGGGAATTATCCTGGCAGATCGACGGTACATCCAAGTTATGAAAAGTCCTCCTCCTCCATTTGGTTGTTTCGTGAGCAAAACAAGCTCACAAGGCGCCATGCGTGGCTGACAAGGTCAAGACGTGGCACCCCCCTCACACTTTGGACTCGTAGGAGCATGAACGTTCCCCTGGCATCCCTGCTCCCACTCCCACTCACACTTGCACTCACACTCACAGTCGCTGGTGGGAACGGGTTGTGTTGCCCATCTCATCAGCGCCGGCATCTTATCTTGGACACCATTATCATTATACGTCCGGACACCTGACTTGAAGTTGAACAACGCAGACACACCCCCTCAAGCTGCTCTGGTCTACATCCTCGCACTCTTTGGTTTCACGGCATGACCGTTGGACTGCAGTCTGCTGTCTGCAGTGTAGTGTAGTGTATAGTGCGTCGCGCATGCATTGGAGCTGACGCGCGCCCTGTTGTGTAACTTGGAAGAACCAAGCCATGGCAGAGGCAAATCAATCGCTGTGAGACACATTCAAATCGGCAGCGAATGACAAGACAGATTATTCAGGTCGGGATTCTTCTGCACGTTTTTGCAAGACACACATTCTAGGACATGCTGTGGGCTCTGTAGTGTGGCTGCATATTGTCAATGTCAGTGTTAGTTAAGTGTTAGTCATGCCGTGATATCGAATTTCAATTTCGCAACCTTGTTGAGCATCTTTTCTCCTCTTCTCCTCTTTCAGTGATGTGCGTGCATCCCATAACAGCCTGGAGTCCCTGGTCTTCCCGCCATCCCGACCCCAAATCCAGGGTACCTCGAAATCTAGGCGACCTCGGTGTGGTATTCCGTAACCCTACGCGCAGGTAGGGGTGCTGCCATCCCACGCAAATTCCCCTGACCGATCTACCATACGCACATCCTTCCTTCAGCCATACATACTGTACATATAGTAAATCATCCATGTCTGCAAATGCAAGCCATGGTTGCGCTGCGTTATCAGCAAGATACCAAAACACAACACCATGGAGGCACGGTGCCATACGATCTCAGCAGCATCCATTTGGGGGTTCGAAGTAGTACCCAAGCTGGGAGCTCATCAACTCTGGTTGAAAAGATAGCAGTTTGTTTTGAGAAAGAAAGAATTTGCTGAAAT